CACTAACCCAAATCCTAACACTAACCCAAATCCTAAACCCCATCCTGACATTACTCCTAACAAAACGCTTTCTCTAACCCTAACCATAACCCTAACCCCTAACCCCAACCCTAACCCCTAATCCCTAACCCCTATTAACCCCTAACCTTAATCCTAACCCTAACCTTAATCATAATCCTAACCCTAACCTTAACCCTAACCCCAACCCTAACCCTAACCTAACCCCTAACCCTAACCTTAACCCTAACCCCAACGCTAAACCTTAACCCTAAAGCTGACCCTACCCCTAAACAAAATCCTAAAACCTAACCTTACATTTCGAAAACCTATTTTTGCTGGATGTCAAACTGCGTTTTCTTCCAAATGGTGCTTTTGATTTCAAGATGTAGCCACGTAGCCAATGAATCACACATCTTTATATGGCCAGGTATTATATAATTGTACCTTGCATTGCACCCCAATGTGCCCTAGCTGGTGCCATATTCATTAAGGTAATTCCGCAGTTTTGCATTGCGCACTTTTACTGCGCACATCTTATAACTTATAATTTCATCCATTATAGGGACCGTTTACAAAAAAAAATCATTTTATGACAATTTTATGTTACTTCAAAACATCTTTGGTTACATTCGTGCAAAGAATTACGTTAAAATCAATGTTTTCAAAAAAGGCATACAAAGTGTAGCTAAGGTTCCCTATGTCTGTAGTATATTTATTTACTTGTATTTTACGTTTTAATGCCACAATTCCCTAAAAAGATCGGTGACCCCCCTTTTTTAACTGATAATTTATTTCTTTAACGCATTTTACATTTCATATCCGAAATTAAAAGAAAAATCATTTCTGGATCTTCAAAAAAAATCCTTTATCAATGCATGTTCTCAAAGATAGATATGTAAAGAAATGTGGAAAATACATTTGTGGATCAGAATTGTACCCGTTAGTAGTTTCATTTCGCTCAAAAACACAATATTTTTTCAATAAATAATTACAAGATAGGTTTACTAAAGCAAAATCCGCGCTAAAAACGTCAATAAATATCGGGCTGTTGTGATTTTGCTGTTACTCGTAATGAGCGCCAAGATGGCGCCATATTGGGGTAAAGGTGGTATATTGTGATTGTCATATCTTCTTAACGAGTTCGGTGACCCCGACTTTTTTGTGTGATTTTACTTTAAGTATATCATAAACTCCATGCTTGGGAAGTTTCAGCACATTCTCATTTCGGGAACAATTACTGCAGAATTACCTTAAAGGTGTTGCCTATTAGGTTGAACAACGCAGGTTCAAATCCAGCTTAAGGTTGATTTCTCTGTCAAAGTTTCTATTAGTCTTTTTGGTCCATGTAGTTTAGTTTATAAAACTTTAACTATGGTCACTATATGGTACAGGCAGTTTATTATTAAATTAATACACTTTTGGGGGTTAGTGATTCCATCTTCCCAAGTGGAACAAGCGCGACCACAAACAACATTTAACATAAAAAGAGCATGAACCAGTGGAAGGGCGTTGACACCATATGACCACCTTATTGGTGTTCTTACTGTTCCCTCCCTGCAAGTGGGCCTTCTTCATAAGGGGCTAAGTGAACACTAAAGGTGTAATTTACATGCTGG